AATGGGATTTTTTGAGAGAAAAATGGGATTTTATGGGAGAAAAATGGGGTTTGGGGAGGGAAAAATGTGATTTTGTGAAAAAAGTGGGAATTTTAGGGGAAAAAATGTGGTTTTAGGGAAAAAAAAGGATTTTTTTTGTAAAGAAATGGGTTTTTTGGGGTATAAAATGGGAATTTTGGGGGTGAAATGATCGGCTCCGCCCTGGGGTCCCCCCAAAACCTGGGCTACGGCCCCGGCAGCAGCCCCCAGGTGAGAGAACAGCGGGAATTTGGGAGGAAAAACGGAGATTTTGGGTGGAAAAATGGGAATTTTAGGGGAAAAAATGAAGGTTTTGGGAGGGAAAAATGGGATTTTTTGATAATAAAATGGGATTTGGGGAGGGAGAAATAGGATTTTTTGGGTAAAAAATGGGATTTTGGGTGGGAAAAATGGGATTTTTGGGAAAAAAATGGGATTTTTAGGGGAAAAAAATGGGGTTTGGGGAGGGAAGAATGGGATTTTTAGGGGAAGAAATGGGATTTTGCGAGGGAAAACCATGGATTTTTGGGAAAAAAATGGGATTTTGGGAATAAAATGGGATTTTTAGGGGAAAAAAAGGGGTTTGGGGAGGGAAAAATGGGATTTGGGGAGAAAAGTGGGAATTTTGGGGGAAAAAATGGGATTTTTAGGTGAAAAAAAAGGGATTTTTAGGTGAAAAAATGGGGCTTTAAGGTAAAAAATGGGGATTTTGGGTGGAAAAAATGGGATTTTGGGAGAAAAGTGGGATTTTTGGGAAAAAAAATGGGATTTTTATGTGAAAAAATGGGGGTTTGGGGAGGGGAAAATGGGATTTTGGGGAAAAAATCGGGATTTTGGGTGAAAAGTGGGAATTCTGGGGAAAAAAAAGGATTTTTAGGTGAAAAAATGGGGCTTTAAGGTAAAAAATGGGATTTTGGGTGGAAAAAATGGGATTTTGGGGGAAAAAATGGATTTTTTGGGGAAAAAATGGGGTTTTTAGGGAAAAAAATGGAATTTTTGGGAATAAAATGTGATTTTGGGGGAAAAAATGGGGTTTTTAGGGAAAATAATGGGATTTTGGGGGGGAGAAATGGGATTTTGGGAGAAAAGTGGGATTTTTGGGAAAAAAAATGGGATTTTTATGTGAAAAAATGGGGGTTTGGGGAGGGTAAAATGGGATTTTGGGGAAAAAATTGGGATTTTGGGGGAAAAGTGGGAATTTTGGGGAAAAAAAGGGATTTTTGGGGAAAAAATGAAATTTTTGGGAAACAAATGGGATTTTGGGTGAAAAAATGGGATTTTTGGGAAAAAATGGGGATTTTGGGGGAAAAAATGGAATTTTTGGGAAACAAATGGGATTTTGGGTGAAAAAATGGGATTTTTGGGAAAAAATGGGGATTTTTTGGGAATAAAATGGGGTTTTGGGGGGAAAAAATGGGATTTTGGGAGGGAAAAATGGGATTTTTGGGGGAAAAGTGGGAATTTTGGGGGGAAAAAAGGGATTTTTAGGTGTTTTTTTTCCCCGCAGATGAACTCGACGGTGCCGCTGGCGCTGGGGGGCGGCTCCGAGGACGTGAAGCCCCCGCTGGGAATTCGGGGTCCCCCCATTCCCAACAATCCCAACATTCCCAATAATCCCAACGTTCCCAACGTTCCCAACGTTCCCAATATTCCCAATATTCCCAATATTCCCACCAATCCCTGCGCCCCCCACGGCCCCGGGAAGCGCCTGTGCGCCATCTGCGGGGATCGCTCCTCCGGTGAGCGGCGGGAAAAGGGCGGGAAAACGGCGGGGAAACGGCGGGAAACAATGGGGAAATGGCGGGA